GAGAATTGAAAATGAATCTTGATGTGAATGGAAGGGGAGAGGGAGTGGGAAAGGGGAGGGTTGCGGGTGGGAGGGATGTTATGGGGGGGAAGCCATTGTAATCAATATTCTGTACTTTGGAAATTTATATTCATTAAATAAAAATTAAAAAAAAGAATAGGAAAGAGCAAAGAAAATGCGAAATGAAACTGGTATGAAAAATGCCACTGAAAACTCATCTAAGGTCTTTTCACACCAGCACAATTACTCTTTAAAAATATACCCCTATGAATTCTATTCATACTCATTCATACTCATCCTTGCAAATCATTCCTACTTCACTCAGATGCTTAGATGAGAACTCACAGAGCTTCACAGGCAGAGATGGATAGAAGGTAGTAAAACTTTGTGTGTCTTTACGCCTAACATACTTCATCTTATTTACTTACTCTATCCTTTTTCCTGCCTCTCTTTCTATAACAATACTTTTCAGTACAGCTGGCTTCATTATGGACTGATTTTGAATGAGTCAAAGTACAAAACACAATTTATGTAGTAACTTCACATAAAAAATAGAGTTTTGTGATTTAGGGCAATTAACCATCTGACTTCTATAGGTGAAATATTATAGGAATTTGGAACTAAACTATATACTTCTCATATTTAATTAAACTGTTCACAGTCTATGAAATAAGGTAAGATAACTTAATATTAAAGAGCTACCATAGTCCTTAGAAACAATAATCATTGTACACACAAGTACACACACAAACACTATATAGAAGATTTTTCGTTTCCAAGAATATACTTCATACATGTTGCACCTGTGGGGAATACTAATTGCCACTCCTCTTTCTCTTGTCTCTTTAGGCTACATAAGAATGATTGATTATTCTACCTTTTTTCTCTGATCCCTATTAGAATGCAGCTTCAAAAGAATAACTATATATATATATATAACTATATATATATATATATATATATATAAACTGCATTATCTCTTTGTAACTGACATTTGTCATTCTTTTTCCCAAATCTCATATTGAACACTTTTTGTGTGTTTGAGAATTCTCCAAATGTAAAATACTAAATTTTGCCTTTCCTATCAGTATGCATAGATTTGATAATCGAGACTCCAGAAATCAGAATCTATGCATGAAGCTCTACTCTGGAAACAGGCTATGTGAAGAAGCCAACAGCATATAGAATTCATCATGACAAGAGTGGCTGCATCAATGTTTCACATTTGAAGTCAGCTTAGCAGTAGATGTAATAATGATGCCTAATGCTAACATGTTGCAATAGAAGCTGTATTCTGTGTGACTGGATCTTCCTGGGATCAGTCAATTTCACTAGAATAATTTTGAGGGAACATTTTCTTGATGAATCTATGAGTCACTAAAGCCAGACAGATATATTCTTTAGGCTTCCATGGGCTCCATCATAATGACTAGCAAATTCATTTTTTGTTGAAACTATTTAGAATGTGTTTTTTCAATCCTCAAACAAGAACCCTAACTCACATACTCTTTTTTTTTTTTCTTTTGACAGGCAGAGTGGACAATGAGAGAGAGACAGAGAGAAAGGTCTTCCTTTTCCTCGGGTTCACCCCGCAATGGCCACTGCAGCTGGTGCACCACGCTGATCTGAAGCCAGGAGCCAGGTGCTTCTCCTGGTCTCCCATGCGGGTGCAGGGCCCAAGAACTTGGGCCACCCTCCACTGCAGTCCCAGGACACAGCAGAGAGCTGGACTGGAAGAGGAGCAACCGGGATAGAATCTGGTGCCCTAACCGTGACTAGAACCTGGTGTGCCAGAGCTACAGGTGGAGGATTAGCCTATTGAGTCGTGGCACCGGCCCAATTCACATACTCTTTAGACTGATTTTAAAGTATAAGCAACAACACTATGCTCATAAATTATATATATATGAAATACATGACATTTTTCACTTTATATAAATTTTAAAAAATGTTAAAAAACAATTCTTTCATTCAGGTTATTTGGAATACATGGTAAAGAACTTGTATTTAGAGTACATAGCAGAAACTGTATGAAAACAACATCCCTATCCACAGATTTAGAGAATGAATGAATGTTTTCCCTGTTACTCTGCTAGGAAGAATATATTTTTTCTTATAATTCTTCACTTTATAGCAGTCTTATAAACTCTGAAATTTTAAATCATTCCAGTATCCAAAAGAAAATTGCACTCAATTGGTAATAGGGTTGCTATGTAATTCCAGATGCTGGTTCATCATTCAAAGATGCTAGATTGCTCCATGCCAGCACACATCTCATTGAGAGACAGAGCTGATGATGCCACATAAGTCTCTTTTGTAAGACGATGGAAATAATTCAGGGTCTATGTCCTGATCATTGTTACTTTTATAATAGTTCAAGGACGTAAGACTATAATTTCATGGATCATTTCTATAGTTAGCTAATAGTATAAAGAAGTATCTTGGCACTGTGGGATATGAAATATATTTTAGGGCGAAAAAAATGAGAGAGATTCCTGCTATGAGGTGGCATTTAAACTCACCCTAATGTTGTAGTTTGCAGAAAAATGCTGATCCAAAATAAATAATACATATAGCAGAAAACCTAGGGTTGTTATGTTTGAGTTAGAATAGAATATAGAGTGACACAGCAATAGGCAGGCACCCAAGGAGGAACAAACGTAGTTCCTTACTTCTCTAGTGCCAGTAATTAAAACCTGAATCAAGTGGTAGACATCCTAAAGCAGATTACATGGATAAAGAGACAGGCATACAGTAGAAGATCTTGACCAGGGAAGCAAAGTCTGCGGGCAAAGAGCTCTTAGTCTGTAGTAGTGAACACTGTGCTCCAGAGAAAATTGGGACGTGACATTGGAACCAATATCTTTATCTCTTTTTAAGTGTCCCATACACACCTGCATATAGAATTTATAGATATCATTAATATAGGTATACATATTATATATGTGTTAGTATATATGTGATACCTAATATATATTTTATATATATACATCATTAAATCTTGTCAACTTTATAAAGAGAAGGAAAGCCTTTAAAAAGAAAAAAAACTGTATGCATTGTTATATGTTACTTACATGGTTAATGTAAAACCACATGACTACTAGAATCAGGATTCTGGGGCTCTAAAAGAATAGTCTGCTTGACATTAAGAGGTCAATGTTTATACATTCTTTTTGTGAGACATGAATAGAAAATTTAAAAAATATTTCCAGCAAAAGTAACAATCATTAAAAATGTGGATAAAGCATGTTCCTCAAGAAATAGAAATAAAAACAGTAACATAAGTAGAATATACAAAGATAAGTTTCATCACATATTTTATTCTGAGTAAAACCATATATGTAAGATGTTCCACTTCTGTAAGTAGAGAGTAGAAACAATGTAACATCAATTTTAAGTGAAATATAAAAATGATGTAATCTGTGTCTTAGTACACTGTTACAGTTAGAGAAAGTAATTTCTAATGAAACATGATGGTTTGCCTTTACTAAACAATTAGAGCAAGGATAATTAACATGAGCCTGAATCCTTGCTATAGAATAGTAGATATAAATGTCAATACATTATTAAATTTCCTAAATTCAAATAAATATAGTTTTCTCTTCATATATTTGAAAATTTGGCTCCAAGAATTCTCAATACTCAAGTCCCTCATAAATGATATAGTATTTGCATGCAACCCATACTCATTATCCTATATACTTTAAATCATTTCTAGACCACTTATGATATCTTATACAATGTAAATACTATTTGAATATGAGAGTACTTCAAAAGTTTTCAGAAAATGGATTAAAAGCTGTGTAAACTTTGGTACAAAAATGGAAGAATTGCACATTTTCTATTAATTTTTGAATATTTATCACAATTGTTATACTATGTTGTTCAGGGAATAATGATAAGAAAAAATCAATACATGTTTAGTATATATGCATTTTTCATCAATTTTTTCAATTAGCAGTTGGCTTAATACACGGATGCAGAACCTAACTGTAATACAAAATTGACTTGAGAATTGTGAAATTAAACATCTTTAAAAGGCACGGTCATTTTTTCATAATAAATTTTGTTTCATATGGAATGATTATGGTTCCTTATGTGTAATGAGCTGAATCGTGTCCCCTTCAGATTTCTAAGTTTAAGCCTTAACACCTAGTTCCTCAGAATGCCACTATATTTGGAGATAAAGCCTTTTTAAAAATGTTATTAAGTTAAAATAAGGTTATTATTTTGGGCTCATCCAATCTGACTGTTGTTTTTAAAAAACAGGAAATTTGGATACACAAAGAGATGCTAGTGATGTGTATTTCCAGAGGAAAGATCAGGTGAGGCTACAGCTAGAAGATGTTTATCTGCAAGCCAAAGAGAAAGGCTTCAGAAGAAACGAAACCCACCAACATCTTGCTATCGAACTTCTTGTCTCCTGAACTTTGAGGTAATAAATTAGTTTTATTTAAGACACCTAGTGTATTAGTATTTTGCTGCCACAGCCTTAACAAATGAATATACTTACCACTGCATATATCTTGATGGAGTGCAATAATATGATTTATGCATAATGCACTATAGTCAGTGCACATGATTCACTTGTGCAGCCAACATTGTCCATCTCTGTTATAACATAAGTTGATGACTGGTACACCTTGAGCTTCTGTAAGCCTTGAGCTTTTCATCAAAACCAAAAGTAATATCAAAAGAAGAAACTAAAATAAAAATCTGATGTATAAAACCCCATGTCAAAAAGCTGATACATTATTTTATAATTATGATAATGATAATCATAGATTCTATTTGAATATTTACTTACAGAAAAATATTCTTGTAAGGTTTCTGTGTTGGTGTATTATGCATTGATAATTAAATAAAAGGAATAATGCTTACATCACACTTGATAGCACTACACAGTACACTCTAAACTATGACATGTCCTTAACGGCATCTAAACACTCGGAGAGTGTGCAGTGGAATAATTGAATATTTTTTCACATTGTTTTACATTTATTGAATTACTGAATATTTATTAAGTATCTGCAATATAGCAGGCCAAACAGAGACAAGTTCTCTGTCCAGAGTGACTTTCAATTTTTTCCACAATATCCAAGTACTCATCATAAAAAAAAAAAAAACATTTTGCTGAATCAGTACCCATTCTTTGATTAATCTTCATGTACCATTTTTGCAAGTGTTTTTTCAAACAGTGAATAATGCTGTAAACCAATAAGTATTCAAATTCCAAACATTGTCTGAAAGACTAGAGGAATCACCATTGCTTTTATCTCTGTTTGACAAAGCAGCATCCAATGGAGTAAAACCCTTCCTTTCGGTGGCAGTGGAACTGTATGATATCTGACTGCCAGGCGTCCATTTTTAGAAAAAGCCAAACTAGAGGGATATAAAATACCAGATACTATGCCAATCAGTGAACTTCTAAGGACACAGTTTTCCTTGCTTATGTTACCTGAATACAAAGCATCGGTTACAAGGAGCTTGTAAGCAACTATGGTAGATAAAAATGGAAGTGTAGTCAATGATGCATATGTTTTCAAAGCAGCATGTTTAACCTTGAAGCAATGTCTGAAAATGAAGTTTGCCAGTATTCCAGAAAAACCAGCTGTTGTGCCAAGGGTCAGTGTTCCATATATATTTAAGGCCTTTTCTTTTCGAAGATACTCAAATTTTTTTTCTATGATTTCGATGACCATTGGTCTTCCGAGTTTTGCATCTCTTAGAGAAGGACTAGGCTGACCACGTGTATATGTTGCCATTCTGATGTCCTTGGGCGCTTCCCCAGTTCCTAATGGTACCACACCGGCATCTTTCACGTCTGCACCAGCCTCACCCCTCAGCGCCGCCATTTTGGCAGCTCACGTGACTTGCAAGTGGGCCGAATAATTGAATATTAAAACACAACTCAAATTGATGTGATTTTCTCTTTTAACATATTTTTTCCTGACTTTACTAAATACTAGTGTCAGAAAGTAACCTTAGAGAAATGATGAGAGACTTCATTGAGGATATATCTTCATCCATCTAATCAGAAAAATTAGTAGTATTCAAAATAGCAGATACAGTGTAAAACTGAGAAATCCTTGTTAATCAATTTAGAGAAAAATTGGTAATGCAGAATGATATGATAGCACCTTTTCCTTATTATCACCCTAAGCAGAAACTGTGCATGATTTCTTTTCCCATAAAATTTCCCTAATGTATTGCATTCTGAATTCTAAAACACTTGTAAGAATTTGTTTAGCACTCAGTATTGCCCAGAGCATAAAACACAGTCTCATGATATATACTTGAATGTATAAATTAAACGTTTTGAAATCTAATGCAGCATCTTTCAACTTATCACTGGGGCATATTATAATCTGAGCAAATTAATCAATTGTATGCAAATTACTTTAGGTCTATATATTAAATAAAACTATGATCAAGTGAACCAAATAGTTTATTATGGGCTTAATCATGATGCAAAACTGAGTTAGAGGACAGCGTGTGGCATAGCGTGCTTGCCAGTGTCCTGGCTGCTTCCCTTCTGATCCAGCTCTCTGCTATGGCCTGGGAAAGCAGTAGAAGATGGCCAAGTCTTTGGGCCCTTGCACCCACATGAGAGACCTGGAAGAAGCTCCTGGCTCCTGGCTCCTGGCTGCAGGTCAGTGCAGCTCCAGTCATTGTGGCTAATTGGGGAGTGAATCAGCTGATGGAAGACCTCTCTCTCTCTCTATCTCTCTCTCTCTCTCTGTCTCTCTGCCTCACCTTTTCTCTCTGTGTACTTCTGACTTTCAAATAAATAAATAAATCTTTAAAAAAAAAAACTGAATTGTAAAACTGAATTCTTCTTTGGATATATTATCCATATTTATTGCTGACAAATTACTTACCATAACTTAATTCATTGACAGCAATTTTCACATAAAAATGTGATTTAAATATTGAAACTGAAGCTGTAATTCAAACTGTGTTACTGAGCACCTTTGCTAAAGGTGCGAATTAATCATGCATTTTTCAAAAAGTTAGTTCATACAAACCTTTGCCTAGCTTTTGAAAAGCTCAAGCAACTAAGCATATGCGTGAATTTCTGTGAACTTTTCATGTAATTCTGGGAGATTCTCCCGTATCACTCTTTACATATTTGTTATTAGCCCAGTAAGTAGGGGATGATAAAGAAGGATGTTTAGTACTGTCTGTTTGCTAGTGACAGACATCATTGGAATTTCATTTCACTCTGATTATTCTTGTGAAAATTTTTGAGGAAATTTCTCTTTGTCTGTCTTGGCTACTTTAAAAGTTGTTATGCACTGAGTTCCTTACAAACAACAGAAAGTAGTTTCTGACTGTTCTTGAGGCTGAAAAAAACCAAGATGAAGGCACTGACAGATTCAGTGCCTGGTGTGGGGATATTCTCACATAGGAGATTTGTAAGTGTAGCCTCACATGGTGGAAAAGGCACACAAGCTGCAGTGGGCACTCTGATAATGACAGTAGTCCCATTTGTAGTTCCATTCATGAGGGCTCTGTCCCCATGATTGGGTCACCTAATAAAAGCATCCCCTTCTAATATCATAAGCTTGGGGTTTTGAATTTCAATATATGAATTCGGAGGGTGGAGTAACAAATATTCAGCAGAACTACATTTTCTTGATGCTTTTTAGACAACCTTTCTACATCCCTCAAATATTTCACTTATTTTCAAGTATTCAGAGTTCTCAGGAAAGTCAAAGAAAGAAAAACACACAAAGTGCCTTTATCATTTGACAAGGTTGACACTATGTTTTCTTCAATACTTACTTGAAAGATAAAACTTAGACCTTGATAAATCTGTTCATTTAATTCGCCCATATATTGAATGCTTAGCTCTTTAGCATAAGCAAGAACACTTTTTTTTATGAAAATAAATATCCTTAAATGTGTTGAACTTATAAAACAGTATTATGAGGTATATTTACTCAATTCCAAATAATTCTTGATCAGTTATTTAGTTCCAAATACTATTTAATATTCTGTCATTCAAGGCACTAAAAATTATAAAAAAAAAAAATACCGCGGGGCCAGCACTGTGGCACAGTGCATTACCGCTATCTGTAGTGGGGGCATTTGTTATGGGCACCAGTTTGAGTCTTGCCTGCTCCACTTCCAATCCAGCTCCCTGCCAATGTGCCTGGGAAAGCAGCAGAAGATGGCCCTAGTGCTTGGATTCTTGCACCCATGTTGGAGATCCAGATGAGGCTCCTGACTCCTGGCTTCAACCTGGTACAGCCCTGGCTATTGTGGCCATCTGGAGAGTGAATCAGTGGATACAGTGGATAGACGATCTCTCTTTTCCTCCCTCCCTCTCTCTCTCTCTCTCCCTGTGTAACTCTGCATTTCACATTTCAAATAAATAAATAAATCTTAAAAAAAAAAAAAAAAACTGCCAAGGAGTTAACAGTCTCTTTGAGAGTTGAGTTTTGCACATACATCAATAAGTAAAAAGTGCAGGTAGCAAATAATTAATTTAGAAGTAGAGACAATATGAGGTCCATGACCTGAACTATGAATGAACACTTTTAGTTGAACTAATTAGCTAATGCTATAGCTTTCCTACTTTTCTTAAATCCCGAATCTCACTATCAGAGATTTCTATAAATGTGAAAATATGTTAGGACATCAGAGAAGATTTTTCCTATAAACATATATTGACTCTTCTTGGATGCATCCCAGTTTTATAAGACCATAATGCTTCCTGTTCATCACTGGTCTTCAATTATCTTACTTTCATATTTGCAACCAAACAAGACATAATCGACTAACAAGTTTTCATACAAGAGCTGATAACATCAATACACTTGCATTCTAAAATTTATTTAAATTCTTTTTGTTTAGAAGTATTTTTAAAATATTTCCTTATCTCAATGTACAGCACACTAACATTGAGATTTAATGCTATAACTAGTACTCAAACAGTATTTTTCACTTCATGTTTCTGTGTGGGAGCAAACTGTTGAAATCTTTACTTAATGTATGCTAAACTGATCTTCTGTATATAAAGAGAAACGAAAATGAATCTTGATGTGAATGGAAGGGGAGAGGGAGTGGGAAAGGGGAGGGTTGCGGGTGGGAGGGACGTTATGGGGGGGAAGCCATTGTAATCCATAAGCTGTACTTTGGAAATTTATATTCATTAAGTAAAAGTTAAAAAAAATATTTGTTTATCTACTTATTTATTTGAAAGTGAAAAAGATAAAGACACAGAGAAAGAAGGGGGTGGAGAGAGGGAGGGAGAGAGAGAGACAGAGAGAGAGAGAAAGAGAGAGAGAATCTTCTACACACTGGTTCACTCCCCAAATGCCCACAACAGACACAGGTGAGCCAGGCTGAAGCCAGAAACCAGGAGCTCCACCACAGTCTCCCATATGGGAGGCAGGGACTCAAGTACTTTATCCACTATCTATTGCCTCCCAGGTACATTTATCACATGCATCAGGGATGTGAATCAGCTGAGACTTGAAGTTGCACTCCAATATGGGATGCAGGTTCTCAAGTGGTGGCTTAACCCACTATGCCATAATGCCCGCATCCATTTACAGTTATATGGTGGAAGTGTTGCCATCATAAAATTTCAACCAGAACTATACTTTGAAACCTTTAAGTGTTCATTTATGTCCTACTAATACATCAGGCTATTATTAGTTATTTTCATGATGACCAATAGTTTTTTTATTCCTTCTTGATAGAATTAGATTTTATTTGGTCATTGAACTCAAGAATAATCTGATAGTTCAATATGATAGTCACTTTCTTCTTAGTGGTGATTCATTTACATGTCAATAAAATGCTCCAATTTTGACAAAAGAAAAAAATTCCTGTTTGCTGCACATTTTGTGTCTAACTACTGTATTGTATTTTCTTTCATGTTCTAGCTAAAATAACAAGCCAATCTTGAAGAAAACCAAAAAGAATGGCCAACAGACAAATTGAAAAACTGGAGCTCTTATGTATTGTGCTATGATTAATCCTTTGTAATTCTAAATATTTTTCCATTTCATTACTCTGAATCACAAACCTGATAAAAGATATAGATGACAGATGAAAACAAAACTAAACAATGAATAATATTATTTCATATTGCTTCAGATCTACTCCATTACTTAGATTTAAACAGAACTCAATAAACATTCTTGAATTTGTATTGATTCAGAATTCTTGTTCATAATACAAATTCCTTAATTTTCTGAGGGCCCATTGTTGGGTGATAGGTTTGTTTCTACTAATTATAAATGTCTCTAAATGGCAAAGTGCATTTGTGCTTTTGTATGTCTTCTAATTTCTAAATTCCTTCTGATTCCTCAGTCTTCTAATTCCTTCAGTTTGGCTGCACACAGTGATTTCAATCTGTTGCTATCATATATATATATATATATAATATATGTATAATATATATAATTATATATCATATATAAACATTACATATTATATATAAACATTATTAAATATATATTATATTTATAAGTAATGTTTATATTATGTACAGTGTGGATTTTTGAATTTATTCTATAGTTTGAAATTAAAAACCTTGCATGTTTCCTTTTCATCTTTTTCATGAATATTAAGGAATTTCTATGGCATATTTTTAATTTGTAGAAATATTTTAAATGTTCAACTTTCCCTGAAACCTAGTCCTATGATCTTATAAGGTGCAGACAAAGTTTACCAGTCACTACAGAGGACTAGATTTTGATTTAAAGATTTCTTGCAATGTTTTGACCAGTGTTCCACATATCTCCAGATGTCAAGGCTTTTTACAAATATTTCCTGTTCTTGTGACAGTTGTAAATGCCAGCTATTCACACTTTCATTTTTGTACTCATGTAATGGTATTATCTTAGTATCCCTAGGAAAC